TGAACCCAACTCCCCCTGCAGATTTCTTTGAAAAACTGAATGCAAGTCTCTAGAAAAGAAGTAATAAAGGAAAAGAGTGAGCAACGAAAATTTTATATAATATTTCATTTTGTGTACGTTTCTGTTTTTACTTTTTTTCTTGGTGCCAATAAATGAACAGTTCTTATTTCATGGCTGTTTTGACTGGAAATTAAATAAATAAAGTCTCTAACCTTCGCAAAGTACTGTATATTTACTTATTATTTTCATTGTATTGACTGTAGTAATTACTGAACAATAATAAGTAATATTAATTATAATCTTACGCTTAATATCTGAACAATAAGCCTGGGGTTTAACAGGTTAAGCACGTTCAAGGACACATAACCCAAGTCAACAACAGGTTTTTGTCCTCATGATTGTGTGTTGTAACCAACATGGCGTAACTGTAATTATAGTGTAAACATGCAACACATCAGCATCATTGATCTAGAGATCAGAGGCATGCTCCCTTGTGGGAAGAAATGTGTTCTCTGCTTTGTTTAAGCCTATTTCTGATTGGCTGATGGGGTGGAACATCATTGATCATGTCTGGGTGGCTGGTGATGAACTGGGGTGGGGGGGGGGCACTCCATCGCCATGTGAGGTAGTTATCTAATCACACACCACTGCTCTCCTCTTATGTCTGGCCCAACTCGGCCTTCACTTGCAGCTCAGAGCAATAACGCCCTATCGATCCTATCTGCCTGTCGGATGGATGCCTATCGACTGACCCTCAACATGTTGGCCTGTTCTCTCACTCTAACATGCATCCACCCAGATGTCCCAGTACAGCAGTGTACCAGTCTGAAGTCTCGGCAAAGGGCTGTAGAGGGTGCTGTGCTGAGCTCCGATGAGACGGTTCAGCTTAGCGAAGAGTGAGAGGGCTCTTGTTGGCACAAACGTGGTTCATACGATCAGGGTTGGAATATCAGTTTGTTTTGGTCTCACTGGTTTTATAGCAGTTACATGTGTAGGTTTTTTTTCCCTAGTGCCTTATTATGCAGCTGCTCAAACAGTTGACGCTTTTATTGTCTTAGAGCAGCGATATTAGATTTTAATAACTCCATGACTTTGTTTCCATAGTAACCACATCTCTTTCACTGTGGTTCAGCAGGAATCTCTCTTCTGTCTTCTAACGTAGAAGGGCTTCAGACTGTGCATGCTGCAGTTTTGTTAATGTTGAACGAGTACATCTAATTAACTTTTGGGTTTTCATTTAGTGGATCTTTTAGAACTAAATTGTTTTGATTTCATCATGTAAAGCCTTGATTCTCTGTGCTAGTAGTCTCTGTCCCTTAGATAAACTTAGTAGTGTTCCCAGTCAAGGCTACCTATTTGTTTGCTTAGTGTAAAATACATTAAAAAAAAAAAAGCTAGTCGGATAGGTCGTTATCAGAGCATGACTTGTTCTTGGGAAGAGCACAGATCTGTAACAGTGAATTTGAGAGGGGACATTGGACTGTATGGCTGTTTAGCACTGAAAATATCCTTAGGCTGACCAAAAAAAAAAAAATAGAGGCATTCGAGACATGCATTAGGTACAGTCCTGGCCATTCCAGATATGCAGTGACCCATGCTTTTTTTCATTTTCTAATTAGGCATTTAGCCTTTCAGATGGCCACGACTTCTTGGTTTGCTATTCATATGCCCTGGCACAGATCGTGTGCACTGTGCAGAAAATAGCCCAAACCGTAGGAGTTGTCCTGAAATGACTGAAGCAGACTGTAGTCCTTGTTGGCTATTCCTTTCTTCATGCAGACATGCCATGGCATTTTTTCAGGGTGTTGGGTTTCTTTATGCTAGTAGAATATTGGGTAGTCAAAGACTATAAAGCACCTGTGGCTTTCGGGCAATTTATGCCATGTGCCATCTGTTCCCTGAACATCTGGAAGAACACATTCAGACTCAGTTACAGGGGACAGTAATGAGACATTTGGCATTGCTGCTTTGCTGGTAGATCAACAAGATCAAGAACCCTACAAATAGTGCAATGTTTTACTTTTCTGATCTGTTTCTCTAAATCAGAGGTTCCCACTCCTGGTCCACAATTAAAAGGCCAGCAAACTACATATATAATTGAATTCATTATTTTGTATGAACTGCAAATGTCAAAAAACAATTGTCAACTCAGTGGCTATATTTAGCATGATACAGGGGGAATCTTCACTTCAGAGATACACTATATGGTATGTGGACACCTGACCATCACACCTATATGATATTCCATAGGCATTAATACGGAGTAGGCCCCCTCTTTACAGCCTCCACTCTTTAGGGAAGGTTTTGGAGTGTGTCTATTGGAATTTATGCCCATTCAGTCAAAAGATCATTTGTGAGGTCAGGCACTGATGTTGGACAAGAAGGCCACACTCACAATCAACTTTCCAGTTCATCCCAAATTTGTCCAGTGGGGTTGAGATCTGGTTCTGTGCAGACCATTGGAAGATCCTCTACACTACACTTATCAAAACATGTCTTTATAGACTTTGCTATGTGCACGGGGGCACAAGTCATGCTGGAACAGGAAAGAGCCTTCACCAAACTGTTGCCACAAAGTTGTAAGCATATAATGATCTAAAATGTCTTTTTAGGCTGTAGCATTAACCTTTTCAACTCCTTGGGACCACCAGTGGTTCCAAAAAGCACTTCGTCATATTCTTCATAGCTCTTGTATTTCATAAGCTACATTCAAAAAGTGTGTGTCATATGAGAGCTGTAACTGTCTTCTTTCCAGTCAAATAGATGGGTAATGTAATTTTAAACCTTATAATAAAAGAAGCTGAACTCACAATTTGTTTTTGTCTACTGAAAGTCGACCCATTTTTCCACAGATCTGAGCTATAAACTATAAACAGGTGGTGTCTCTTCAGTGATCTGCTCTGTAAAAATTGTTTTTATAAAATAATACAAAGAGCATTTTTGGCTTTCAGCAGTAAATTGTAAGCATATAGAAATATGTGTATGATCATAAAACACGTTCTGTTAATTTGAGGGGAGCTTTTACAAATAAATAAATAAAATAAAAAATTATATTTATTTCATGCAGTTACTGAATAATTTGCCTTATGATTTGGTCATGTAAATTCAGATGGAAAAACCAAAACATACCCTGGTGAATAGCATCACCCTTCACTGGAACTATGGGGCCAAGCCTGACCACTCCAGACCATTATCCCTCCTCCACCAAACTTTATTGTTGGCACTGTGCATTGCGGTAGGTAGCATTCTCCTAGCATCTACCAAACCCTGATTCGTCCATTAGAGTGGCAGATAGTGAAGCGTGACTTATCACTCCAGTGATCACTCAAGTTTTCACTGCCGAGTCCACTGGAGGCGCGTTTTACTCTATGTGCAGCTGCTCGGCTATGGAATCACGTTTCATGAGGCTCCCAATGCACAATTCTTGTGCTGATGTTGCTTTCAGAGGCAGCTTGGAACTCTGTAGTGGGTAAAGCAACAGAGGATAGTTGATTATGTGTTGTGTGCATCATCACTCTGTGAGTTTGTGTGGTTTGCTGCTTTCGCGGCTGAGCTGTGGTTCCTAGATGCTCCCATTTCACAATAATAGCACTTACAGTTGAATGTCATTAACTGACTTGTGGCAAGGAAGGCATTCTATGATATGTTCTGTGTTGATTGCATGGCTATGTGCTTGGTTTTATTTACCTGTTAGCAATGAGTGTCACTGGACTCAAAGGTTAGGAGGGGTGTCCCCAAACATTTGGCCATGTAGTGTATTTTAAAGAAAAGAAAGCTTAAAGGAGATTATTTCAAAATCTTTGCACTGTTCAGTCCTTATAAACAAAATCACTCAGACTTTTTTATAGACTAGAGTCAGTATTCTTTACAATGGTGGTTTTAGGAACCCAAGGTTTGCAGTATCTAAAACACAGATATAGTTATTTCCTATTTAAAATCTCTCTTTTTTTTAATGTAATGTTAGTAGTGGTAAAGTAGTGGTCAATCTAAAAAAAAATCTAAGATTTTTTGAGTACTATTTTATCTTACAGTGCTCTGCATTTGTCTCTTTGCCATGAATGGATTTAAAAACTTAATTTCAACCCAAATGCTTTTATCAGAACTACTGTAAAAGAGTGTCTCAGGCATCAGGCAACATATTCGTTAGCTACTGAATCGCTACTATTGTAAAGAGTTGTAGCTTTGCATGGTTGTATAGTTTCTCTAGAATGGTATGTTTCACACTAAAACACTCTCAATTTTTTTTTTTTACATCTTAACAATTAGGTCAAAAGTGTGATAAATTGGTAGGATTTAAATTAACCAGTAATTGAATTCTCAGTTGTTTTAATATAGTTTTATTTTGCTAATTGTTTATTGCTCAGTTTCACTACAGGACGTTCAGTGTAGGGGTGGACATTTTGTGTGCAGCCTTCACCTTGCCAGGTTGGCAGTGCTGCCAGGTGATACAGAGACGGAAGGATTGGGAACTGGAGACCACTAAATTGAACGAAAAGGAAAGCACATTAGAGAAAGCCTTTGATCATAGCACTAGTATCCAGACTAAAGATCTAATAGACTGCCGTCGACAGTCAAGCCTGCTCCTCTAAAAGCATTAGCCAGATTGCCCATTATCAAGACTCAAAGCGGTATCATGGGACAATGGGATGCTTCGTAATGGTGTTTTTATGAGCTTCTGCTCATGGGTTTTACGGGCCACTGAACACATCCTAACGCCGCACACTTGTATTCCAGTCCAGTGTTAGAGTCAGCTGAAAAGATTGATACAATCCATGTTTCCTGAAATTAGTTCAGTTTATTCTTTAAACCATTTAACTTCATACACTGCACAGTATAGCTGCCTTATGGAGTAAATGAGTTCTGTTTGTTCTGCTTAGCTCCATACATTGAGCTCAGATGACTTGCAGTACAGCAGGCCTGTTGAGAGGTAAAGAAGTGTAAGTGAGACAGGGCCTGTTGGTTTCACTAACTAACCATGTGTCTTTGTGTTTGTTTTGCAGGAAAATGACAGGCCACTCCTTTCACATGGGCTACAGCATGGCCATTCTCAACGGCATAGTGGCTGCACTCACTGTCATCTGGTGCCTCACATAAAAAAACCATGCAAACTTTCGCTCCCTGACCGCTTCCTCACCTAAATCATCGCATTAGCATCATTAGGAGCAGTAGCATCAAGTGTTTATGGTTAATTAAAGAAAGGAAAACATCAAGATCAGTGGCGCTTAATCCTGGTCCTGGAGCACCAGTGCCCTGCACATTTCCTCTGCTCCCAGTACACCTGATGCAACTAATGAGCTAATGAACAAGGCTTTGCTGATGTGAAGTGCATGTTAGAGCTTGAAGTGGGTGGTAGAACTTGAAAAACAACACAGCATGCAGGGCTGCAGAACTCTAGGACCAGGATTAAGAACCACTTTTCTAGATTTAGTGTTACGTTGTACACTAAGGGGTTTATTTTTTCCCTTTTGGTAAATATACAGTGTTACAACACAGTGCTATTACTATAAGTGTTATAATTTTTGAAAGTTTTGAAAGCACAGCCTGCATAATGCAACAGATTTTTCTGTTTTCAAACAGCAAATAAGCATAGACAAACAGCCCAACCGGTATATCAGTTCGGCAGAAATATAGCCTATAACATGCTATATGTAATTTATGATAATTATTTATGGCATGGCAGGGATTCAAACTCACAAACTCCTGTGGGTAACCCCCTGTTTAAACTATAGCACAGGAATACAGGCTGAACTGAGTTTGAACACTAAACACCATCATAGTTAAATTAACAAAAACATGTAAAATATAAGCCTGGCATGTAGCATGAGAATAATGTGTTATAACAGTTTTGTAGTGAATTAACAAAGAAAAATAATCAGTAATAAATCACACAGAATTCTGGTTAGCTCTGATCACAGTGCTATGATAGTTATGTTAACTATGTTCTCAGACAACTTAAAACTGATAATCACATCAATCGGTAAAACACTATAACTAAAGTACCGAAGTATAAAATTACAACATAATTTTTATCAGTTTTATCAGAATTTTTTACATGAATTTTTATCGGAATTTTTTATCAGCCACAAAATGTTCATATCGGTTGGGCCCTAATGTACATTAAGTTTGCCAAAACTATTTCTTTACATGTACTAAATGAAGTCCAAGAAAAATCCTTGGTCTTTTCTAAGTGACACTGTTTTATAAAAGTGAGAACATTTTGTATCTGGAATCCTAAACTACAGCACATTTTGAATAGCTCAAAAGTTTTTAAGAGTTTATGAAACACATAAGGCATAATGGCCTTCATCTAAGCTTAGCAGGCCTATTACATTGTTCTGGTTGAAACCATATTAGTAGAAATGATGTTTTCTTTGCCGTCTAATTGTGTTTGTTTTTAAAAAGCGCTCTGCGCTCTCCTTTAATTCAGTGATGCAGCACTAATTTTTTCCCACCACAATAGCAGAGCATTAGACTGTGCTTTTTGGCCTTTGATCCGGGCCATCATTTGGTTGTCAGTGCATTAACACAGCTACAGCTTAACTGCTTTAAGATTAATGAAATGTGCATTTTAATGCTTCGACCTGGCAGAAAACAGGGCCTTTTAGATTCTGCTTTATTAAGGCACTAAGGCACCGATTAGTTGAGCCTGGCAGTACGATGGCTGTAAAGCAGGTGATGGAGAGAGATTTAATGTATTTCTTCAATTGTTCGACTCCAGCAGGGCTTGATTACTTTTTGTTCAAAACTAGATTAGCAGGCCCTGTTGCAACTCAGGGTAGTTGACGCTAATGCACTGCCCTGTATCCTCAGTTCTCTCTTTTTCTTTTTTTTTTAGTCACACTGTCAAAGCAATAGTGTGTGTGTGTGTGTGTGTGTGTGTGTGTGTGTGTGTGTGTGTGTTTTGAGAGTTGTTATCTTTTTCTGTTCCTGTGTAGTTTCGAGGTATTGCGCCTGTCATGTAAGGAAGACATGAAATGACGTGCATTCACATCTTAATCACTAAAAGAACAGACATATCAAATCCAGGCCTCTAATCAGTGTCTGTATGACCTTGGGAATGTAGCCGAAGGACTGCATGCACAGTAGAGTGCAAAAGTCAGAGACCACCCTTCGTTTACTTCATTTCCAGTGCATGTTATTAGTTTTTTGTAAGATATTTCTGAGAAGATAAGATAATACAGAAGATCTGTATGCGAAAAGGGAACGTCAAAGCAAAATAAAAAGGAAAAAAAATAACCTCTGACTTCCAAAATTAGTTTTGGAATCCAACATTTTTCCTGTATTTTATTTTTTTCTCTGAGGTCCAGTTATGAAATTTGTTATTCGTTACATGAGTGTAGAACTATATACTAGATATAGAGGAAATGGGACTTGTGGATTAAGTGAGGCAGAAAATGTAACCAACTTCTAAGACTAAACATTGGAGGTGTGAAACAATATCCCTGCAGATTGCTTTGAGTAACTGAAAGCAAGTCTCCTGAAAAAGATAGAGGCAAAGAATGGACACAAAAAAAAAACGGAAAAGTTTGATATTATATTTAGTTCAGGCTTCTGTGTAATTTTTTGTTAGATATTTTTTTCCTGACCCTGAAAAATTACTGTGTGCTGGATGTTTTGACTGAATTTGCAAGAAATGAACGGTGCTCTCTGGCTTTTGCACAGTACTGTATTTAATGTAACGTAATGAAGTATTGAGTCTGTGTTGTTTGCTGGTAGTGAGAAGTGTATGCCTGAGGCAGACTCAATCACTTTCACACCAGCTACACAATCACACTCTCTGTCGGCCCTGAAACCATCACAGATTGAATTCTGCTCTTAAAGGGGTAGTTCAGCGGAAAATCACATTTACACATTTTTGCCCTTTCCTCCAATATAATCGATCGTATGTGGTTTATGACCCCATATGACATAATGTTATCTTTGAAAATAGACAAAATGATGTTGCGTAGCCATGGTAGTAGCAGCCTGGAAGCCTGACTTATTTTATTGAATAGGTAACTGTGTCTCATACACTGTCAGGAACCACATAAACAAGTCTAGTTGAAATTTCTTAACAACTTCATGCATTTTGTGTGATGCTAATTGGCTGCTAATTAGCCCTTGTGTGGTGTTGATGTGTTTGTTACTCAGTGGTCTGGTGGACCCACCGCGTTATTGTTTTTTTTAATCAATACAGCCATAACAATTTATGTAAAATATACCAGATGTTTAAAATATCACAAGTGTTCAGCGTAGGGTTAGCAGCTGTAGCCAGTCAGCAGCCTGTCCATGTTGTCCACCCTCACACACACACGAACACACACACTAACAGCAGGCCATGTAGGAGGAGAACAGAGTGAAGGACACAGCACTTCCACACTTTTACTCCCGCGGGTTCACCCAAACACCACATGTGTAGTATAAATGTGTGGGGGGTGAACAGAGTGAAGACACTGAAAATGGGTTATTTTATATGTTCTTCACAGAAAATGAGCAAAGACCAAGAATCTGAGGTTGAAATAATAATAAATTGCATAATTTTTTTCATTTGGTAAACACTGAAAATGGGTCCCACAGACCTGAACACCACACAAGGGTTAACTTATTTAGCTTCCATTACTTGCTAGCTAAATTAATTATATAGCTAAAGAAGCAAACTTCAGATGTGTCTTGGTTCATCAACTACATCTGGAGGAAAAAAAAAATGTGTAAATTAGATTTTTCACTAAACTTTTTTTTAACCACTCCAGCCAAGGGTATTGTGTAGTCATATAATCTGCTGTTGACACTTGTTATTTTTGTTTTATAGAACTTTATACTTAGCTAAATGGCACTGGAACACTCAGGGATGAAGAACACTGATGTAGTTGTTCCCCAGGTTGAGCAGATTCTGACATGGATGTGTATGATCAGGAACTGCTTTAAGTCATGTCGGTCAATAAACTGGTATGCCAACATGATGGTTTCGTTGTTTTTTTTTGTTTTTTGCAAAGAAGTAATCACATTTATATGAATAAGTGATGAACCACTGCTTGTAAGTGCCACTCCAGTTGAGACTCAGAGCATTGTTCAAGTAACAATCTGTATTCAAACGACTTCCACAGAACACACAGCAGTCTATTAATAGAATTTGTTTCTTTTGTACTCCGACGCTTACTGGTCATTACAGCCATTGAATTGTGACCTGAGGCAGCAGTGGTGCTGAGTGCTTTGTTCAGATGCTGCTGAGAGTGGCGGTCAATAGGAAAGCATTTGCTTTGATGCCCTTTTATTTGTCACCCCAAGGCCGATTTCTCTGAAAGAGTAGTGAGATGCATAATCATTGGATGGAATAACAGAGAGAGTGGAACAGTGCACACAAAAGTGAATTGACTAAGAAGTATCCACCCAATATATCCAATGGAACCTTCCCTGGATGATTCTGCTATTTGTGCAGAGCTGAAGCCTAGCCGCAGCAGGAAATGCAGTGGGCATTATCCTAAATCTGTCTGACCAATGCTACTGATGTATAAGTGCCCACCTGCCATTCACACGCAATGTTTTTTTGACAGCTTGTACAGAAGGCCTTTACTAGACAGAGCAAGTGTGCATAATGTATGTTAGCACTCATTTGAAAAACAAGTTTTTATGCATCATAGAGATCAAATAGTGACCACATGGCCAAACAGACCTGAATGACGGATGAGCAAGTCTTCCTTTCCTATCCATAATGGACAATCTACCTACTTAATCATCCCATTTACTTACTATATCTGAACACAGTGCCTATATATCACGGCATATGTCAGTATGGGTCATTCAGAGGTATGCATTAACGTAGGAGAGTCTGGCGAGAAAGTTCATTGGCCAGTTCAGGGTGAATATTCTGCAACTGCCCACTCCTTCTATGCATACTCTGTTCCATCCAGTTATTTAAGAGGTGTGCTGTGGTGTAAATAGACTAAGGTGGCATAGAAAGCAGTAGGGGTGCACCAATATGGGAATTCTGGGATGATATCCAATATTTTTCATGTACGTATCTGATGCTGATACATAAACATTAGTGTCAGGGAACCAAACCTTAGCATGGTAACCCACACACACACACACACACACACATGATCTAAGATGCTTATCCTCCTGGGTTGCAGGGGGAGCTGGAGCCTATACCAGCGGTGCACAGTAACACAATGTTACCTAAACATTATACTCTTCTGAAATTAATACATTATCAAATATTTGTTTACAAAAGTTACCAATGTCTGTATTGTTTATGCAAATATCTGCCGATCGATATGATTCCGATATCATGCATCCTTAAAAAGCAAGTTTGGATGACTGAAGTAAGCCATGCATTAAGCAATAAAAAAGATTAAGGTTGGTCCTAGACAAAGCAGACACAGCAGTCTACTTATTGAATTGTCTTACAGAGCCTTTTGCTTGATGCTGCTGTCTTGCTTTATTTATTATTTCTCTCATAATTCCATGTCAGGATGTTAGGCTCCTCTTCTGAGTCGGCTCACTCATTAGGAGGCTAGATTCATGTCTGGAAAGCTGCTTTAGGACAGTGCTTGTTGTGAAAGGTATATATTGTATATTATATACTATGTATTAGGCCTGAAATGATACGACAGTTTTTGTTAGTGATGCCCATTTTAAGGAGCTTACAAATGTTGATAACTAACAATATTAGCCAGTATAATAATATATTATCTGGTTATAAATTAACCAGTAGTTTTAGTTAATTGGTGCTTTACTGACTGTTCTGATCATCAGTTATTTAATCATAACGTGAATTCCCCACTGCCAGATTTCTTAAACAGCAGAAACTGAATCGGAAATCGAAGCATTTTCCTTCTGTGCTGGGGTGTCTGATCTTTATCCACAAAGGGCCGGTGTGGCTGCAAGTTTTCCTTCCAAACCAGCAAAAGCTCACCTGATTCACCTGAATGAAAACCTGCAGCCACGCCGGCCCTTTGTGGGTAAGATCGCTGTTCTAAGCCATGCCATATTGTAGAGTATTTGTGGGGGCATAGGGAGGGTCTCTGAGGTAGCTGAGCATTTGGCTCAATGATAGGTGGGGGTGGGAGGGAGAGGTGAAACATGATTGTATTGGTTAATTATTTTCCCTGCTGCTGGTGCATGATGATGTAATTAAAACTCAGAAAGCATTTTACAGGCGGGTAACTTCAATCAAATTACAGGAAAACAAGAATTTTGTCTCTTCAGTGATAGGAAATGATGAGATATGCTTAATGACAAACTAACAAAATAGAAATGTTCCTTAGTGAAATCAACCTAACCTTAAATACTGCAAAACTCACAATATTGAATTGTCAAATAAATTCCCTTACTGCCTGTTGATCTGTTTGGTTTTTATTCAAAACAGCATCACATTTCTGAATCTGGCTCAGGACACATTGTCCGTGCTTTAGTGTTAGGATTTCGTTGTAAAGTTGCACTATGTAAGATTGTTTCAGGAGAAAAAAAACACTAAAACATGATGTGCATGTGCTGCTGCGAATCATCCTGTTACAGCCTGAAGTAATAATTGAAAAGGTGTCAAGTCGGATTTTGTGGGTATTTTTCAGACCATGTCATACATCTTTACGCATTAACGTCACACGCGCGGGCTCCAAAAGAAGGTCCTGCTCGATGTTTGGGCCTCAAATGCAAACTCAACGTTATACTGATGAAGGTATGATGACAATAGAGGATAATTCACTCACATCCTCGAAAGACACTTCCTTAACCAAGTTTTGACTTCTCTTCAATGTGCTCGCAATCATCAGATTCATCCGTTCGGCAACGGGGTCCGAAGCACAACTTGCATTCCAAGTGTTCTTCCACTTGCTGTCTGCAATTACACATTTCCACCAGAGAGGTCTCCAAATCCCCAGTGCAGCTTTAATATCAGCCAACTTTGTCAAACATTGTATTAGTCAGGCTTTAATATAAATAAATTGAGTTTAATTTCATTGAAAAATATTTTACAGATCAACGTGACACATTCTACACACACATTCCAGCGATTGACGTGGTGATTGGTTCGTCTGAGCGTATCTTACGTGTATGTTTGTGAAGTCTTAGACGGTGACCCTGCACAACCCTGTGCGCTGACGCATTTGTACCCTCTTCACTCGGCACTGTTTAGGCTATCACTCGCACAGCTGGTGAGCCTGTTCCCAGGGTTCAACACTGTTCGAAAAGTGACTCAGATATTTACTTGGGAACATGGAGCAGCTTAACCTGCTTGTTCGGCCGTCTGGAATTACTTATTACATTTGGACCCCAGTCAGTAAATAACCGCAGCCAGGACAAATAGTTTTATGGCATTCTTAACAAGCTTACGGTTTGCAGCCAACGACACCACCTGCAAATTTATGAGTGTTACTAAGTCACACAGCACGGTTTCCAACTCAGTGTAGGAGAAGCTGTGAGAGGATGCAGGTGGATATGACTTTTGTTTATTCATAGCAATAATCAGTTATGAGATGACAATCATTTATGACAAGCATGGACACATAATTGCATTTAGCCTGTTGCCGTGGCCGCTAATGTTATTTCAACTGCATGGTCTTTCCATGGTCTCGCTGACCTCAGTGGTGATGAGTAAAAACAAAAATCAGCAGTAATATTTAACGCTCTGTAATTACAAGATTAAAGCCGGTGGGGAAATCAGTTAATGTTAATCAGCGAGAGTTTGTTGTAGATAAGTTGTCCCATCCCATTGAATTCACTTCTAATCAGAATGGCTGCTTCATCAATGTTATGAATGACCCATTATAGTTGTAGGGACGAAGCAGTGTTCTGGGAAAACACAGCACATGAAACTTCTTTTCAAGAGGGACAATTAAGCAGCTGCGTTATAGAGTAACATGTTATTTGATGTAAATTTTGACAAAAATGTACTCACCTTTTAACACGTCCCTGTTTTAGTTTTAGCAGTTTGTGAACATTGCTGTTTATAGCCTGTGTATTTTAATGTCTTGGAATGACTGAGAACTCAAGGCTTATAAATGCACAGTGTCAGTATAAAGAGGCATTAACACTGAAAGGTATAGGCTAAAAGTGTTACTTCCGCAATAGCTGTGAGTAAAGTCCTCTGAGAAACTGAAGTAACAGTAAAAATTCCTTATAAAAAGTCATTTATTTTAAAATACCAATGCAGTTGGACAGCTGTAGTCAGCGAATGGAAATACAGGGTGTCCCAAAAAAACTGACATCATTTGAGATGTGAATATCTGAGTAGCTACATGTCGTAGGGCAAACTAAATTAAATAGGCTTCATGTTGAACAACACAAGATTTATTTATCAAATTCAAACAAGAAATTCAGAGGGATGTAGATTTGATAACCGATTTCACAAAGCCTCACTAATGTAATATCCTCCGATACTGGTGGTTTACCAGACCCCTTTGTCCTGCACAGACAGCCTTCCTCTTTGAATTTTTTGTGCCGCGTCCAAATCTGCTTTCCAGTTTGTGCATTTTTATTGAATTTTATTGAAAATGCTCGCTGCACACTTTTGTTTGACTGTGTTCGAGCATATTCTACACACTAAATGCTTTTTCATTTCTCATGAACGCCGTTCTTCAACCTGAAAAACATTAAAAATGAAACTTGGTTAGTTTTTTACACATTTTGCTAAAATATGAGATCATTTAAGGGAGATTTGGCTGTTATTAGACTACGAAATGATGTCAATTTTTTTGGGACACCCTGTATAAACCCTCAAAATAAGTGGGTTCTTCATGGGTTCCATAATAGAAGCAAGAAGAACAGATAACAGAGATCCTTCAAAGAACAGTTTGAATGCATAAATGCTTCTTTGCATTGTTCAGTGGTTCTTCTCTATGATGGCTGTTTAATGGTTCTTTAAATGACCTTTTCATAAATGGTTCGATATACCACCAAAAAGGATTCCACAATTATTACGAGTCAAAGAACCTTTTATTTGGCACCCTATAGAGCCCCTTTTTCTCACTGTACACACTTGGTTCTTCAGATTGATGAAGAATGTGCTGTAGATGGTTCTATATGGAACCTTTTTGAAAAGAGGTCTGTATAGCACCAAATGGTTCTTTGTTGTTACAGGCCTGACATTGTAACAATAGCAGAGCCCTTTTGGTGCTATATAGAACCATTTTCAAAAAGGTTCCATATACAACCATCTACAGCACATCCTTCATCAATCTGAAGAACCATTTCCTGATGCGAAGAACCCTTTAATCATGCAAACGGTTCTTTGAGTGTTCATGGTTCTATATAGAACCATTTCTTTTACTAGAGAACCCCTGAAAAACTCTTTTTAAGTGTATATAAAAGAGAAAACTGCTCAAGAAGCTTACCTCTAAGAACTTAATAGGTTCTTTAGGCAACTCAAAGAACCATTTGAATGTTTAAATGGTACTTTGCACTTTTAACAGGTTCTTCTCTATGATAGAAACACGTGTATTTGGTTCTTTAAAGAAGCTTTTTTTAAAAAAAAGTTATATAAAGCATCCAAAAAGGTTCTACTATTGTAACAAGTCAAAGAACCATCTATTTGGTATTATATAGAATCTTTGTAGCATATAAAAATGAAAAATCTGATAAAAGAATTAGTGAAGTTACTGAACAGCTTAAATAACTTTATGTATGAGTTCTAGTTGTTTTCTAATTTACAGTGATCCACACTTCTGCAGTAAGTAAGGTCAACTCAAACAGCCCAATGCTTAGTAATGGTGTCCACTCAGCTGGCAGAGCTCTACTTTTTCATGCTAATTATTGAATTACTTTGGTCAACTTGAATCAAATACTGTTCCTTATGTAATGTATCGGCATCAGTTAAAGCAACTCCATTTTATTAAGGTAACAAATTAACAGTAATGGTATAAACAGCTTAGATAAGAGTAGAATCACCCATTTCTGAGGACTCTAATAGCTTAATGCATATGTGCCATTCTGTTTGCATTCATGGTAAACCTGAACACAAAACACCACCATGATGAGAATAACGCAAACATATATAATGCATCCAAAGAGAATAGCCTATGGCGCTAAATGTATTGCAAAGAGATTCATATTTGTAAATTAGAAATAGAAGAGTTAATTAACAGAGACTAACAAAACCACTAAGAATGCTGGGAAGCCTTTTGGGCAAAAAACTCTTCAGTTTGTAGGATTTATCCAACTGAACTGATCTTAACTAGATTGACCTCAGGAACTTAAGGATTACACAAGAAATAGTGAGTGTTACTAGATTTGTATTAGACATTTTAACATATTAGTAAACCATAAAAGGAAGTTTGTGGAGTTACTGTGGTTTACAGAGTATGATGGACAACTTGTCACTTGTAAAGCAGTACACCAAACACAGTTCCACTATTATTACAGGTCAAAGAAGCATTTATTCGATACTGTATAGAACCCATTTCTGCTGTAGTCTAACTAAGGCTTTAATGTAACGTAATGACTGGTAATACATTGGAAGTAACAGGATGTAACGCAGTAAGACCCGTAACAGTCAGACTGTCTCACACGTCTCATTTATTTCATTAAATGTTAGGAGCGACTTCTTGTCTAGGCTGCATTCAAACATCCGTTCATCACCACAAAAAGAATCTAGTTCTCTACAAAACGAGTTCTGTCCTTCAACAAGGTGCATTAAAGCGTAATCCAGAACAGTGGACTGCATCTCTGGTCATCAGCATTCAGTCTGTTGCTTTAGTGGACAGAGGCGAAAGTTTTTAGTCTGTATACACACTTAAAAAGATGGTTCCTCAAGGGTTCTTTTGTAAAGGTGATGGTTCTATTTATAACCATGAGTTCTACATAAAGCCACTCATGCTGTGGTGAGATGGTTCTTCAGATTGATGGAGAATGTGTTGTATATGGTTCTATATGGAACATTTTTAACAGTGGTTCTCTATAGCACCAAAAAGGGTTCTCCTTTTGTTACAAGTTTGACGTGATAACAGTTGAAGAACGCTTTTTAGTGCTACATGCAACATCAACAGCTTCACCACCACGAAATGGTCCTGTATGGAGCACATGGTTCTAAACAGAACATCGCTTTTACTAGAGAACCCTGGAAGAACCATGTTTTTGAAGGGTGTAGGGATTGGGGAGCGCAGGTTCACTGAGATGGCAACATCCACACGGCTTCCCACCGGCCAGCCAGCGCGCTTTACGCACTAATACGAGCCCACGATGACCGCTTCCACGTCCTTGGAGGACCTCCTGTCCGTCACCAGGAAGTTGATCATTCCCTCGGATTTGATCAGAAGGTTACATCCTAAGAAGAAGATGCCGAAGACGACCGTGAGCGCGAGGACGCACATCACCGCGATCTGCACCACGCTCATGATGAAGGTGCTGCGCTCGTCCAGCGCCGAGCTCACCAAGCCGCTGTCCGTCACGGCCGAGGACAGGTTGCAGCACGCGAGGAAGCTCTCGCTGCTGCTGCTGCTGTTGGAGAAGAAGCTCGCGTCCGTGTCGTTAAACGCCGTCGAGTTCATCTTGAGCCGCGCAGTCCGCTGGAGAAACGCTAACAGGTGCGCCGAACAACTCCGCCAAGTTTCCCGCGGACATTCACCGAGGCTGACCGGCGAGGATCTCTGAAGAGCTCAGTCATGAAGAGCGGCGGCGGAGAGACCCGCAGGCTTGTGGCGCTGAGACAGACGACTGGGCGCTGAAGTCTGCTGCGCCCATCCCTCACAGATCTGCCGTCCCGAGTGAGAGCGCGTGTGACAGGAGTTCAGCGGTCAGCGCTGCTTTAGCGCAAAGCGCGCCCCCAAAAGCACAGAACAACAACGACACGCCTGGCCTCCGCGCTCACTTCAGAAACATCTTCTCTCCGTTACAGGGGAATTCCACTGACTTTTCTCGTGTTTCCGCAGCATTAAAGCTGTAATATTATTTGTTGCATCACCGAGTGTGGAGAAAAAACACACTAAGGCCCAATCCCATTTCTCATTTTTACCCCTACCCCTTGTTTCGAGGGTCATCTTGCCCCTTGGAACTGAGTTACAATAGATAGTTGTTGAAATCTTCCCTATGAAATGGGACCCTCAAATAAAAACATTACTTCATTAACAGCTACAAGCGCTGCTCTGTAGGCGACCCTGCCAGTCTGCAGTGACAGCAGAGGAGGGTAAAGTTCAGCAACATCACTGCCGGGCTTTAGTTACATTTAGGGCATCATATGCTTTCGGGGGGGGGCAATTATTTATTATCGCCCACCCATAATTGTTCGGAGATATGAAGTCAGATATTCACCAGATTCTGGTTAGAATTTGGAATTGTTGGAAATTTAGGCAGCTACCAAGACATCAGCGCACTACTAGCAATTTTCTATGCTTGTTATGAAGAAAAGGATCATAATACATCAAAACAACATTGAACTAAGATATTAGAGTGGTTATTGTAATTTTTTTAACTGAAAAAAATTCTCACATTTGCTTGCTTAGCCATCCTGCCTGTTTTTCTTATTTCCTTACCACACTCTGTTTGGAGTGTTCCTCTGAAAAACCTCTGTTTGAAAGGTCATGTAGCCCTAACACTTCGCCCCACCCCTCTATCTCAACAAAAATCAGAACACCCTGTCCCTCGGCGTAAACGCACAAAACAGAGGGGTTAGGGTTAAGTGGTAGGGGCGAGGGGTGAAATGGGCCCAAATGTGCTTTCACACCTACCTTGTTTGGTCCGGACCTTCTGCCTCTGACTTTTCAGTTGGGTCCGAACCAAAATTGCAGGTGTGAAAAGTGCTTCCGACCACGGTCCAGACCAAAGGACCAAAATTTGGTCTGACCAAATTGGTGGTCTCGGTCCGGATAAAACTGAACCAGGGTTCATTTTGTTTGCAGTGAAAAAAAGGATAATGTCACCCATGACAAGAGACAAGACACAGACACCTATTTGTAATTGTAAAACTCTTTGAATACTCCTTCAACACACTCACAATCGTCAGATTCATCCACTCAGGGAAGAGGTCCGAAGCACAACCCCTGGATACAAAATGTTCTTCCACACATTGTGTGCAGTTACACATTTCCACCTGAGAGGTCTCCAAATCCCCAAATCCTTCTGTGTTGCTTTAAATCGTTATTATGTAAGTAAAGTCATTCAGACAAACTTGCCAAATTAGATTTGTCCACTGCAGTAGTGATAGGAACCAGACGTCCAAAGCGTTTAACCAGGGGCGTAGCCGGAATGTTTCCAACGGAGTGGCCAAGTTAGACCCAGTATTTCTAGAGGAGTGGCAAACCACTTGGAAAAAGCAAAATGAAACAGAGATTGACAGCATTCTTCTGCACTTATATTAGGCCTATTTTACAAAAATATCTGTTTTTTTAATTAATTGGTTAATTACATTTTTAAAACTACAGTGAACTACTACCACTTTAAAATCTGAAAGAAGGTCTAACGAGTAATATTAACCATCAGCACAATTACAAACTGACACTGGAATCAACCAATCACATTTTGATTTTAAATAGATCAATTTCATGAGAAAAATGAGGAGACATCGCTCTAGACCTATAGACCTAGACAGGCTACTGACTGTCAATACTGCAGCTGCCTAATCAGTGGATTGTTAGAAATGGAAAACAGCGGCAGCAGCTCTGTATCAGGCCTCTCTGCTGGAAGAGTCACTGTAAAACTGCTACAGGGTAAACTACATGCTAATATGTGTGTTATTAGCTTCAAGCTCTCAAGCTACAAGTGAAACAAAGAATGTCTTTTACAATCTTCAAACGTCTGAGTTTAACAGAACGGCCAAAAATGTTTATGCTAATTAAACATTTTTGTAGAGATGTTTTATTTTTTTTTTTTGACTGAGTTTTGACATTTAGGGCCTGAACTGAAGGCCAAGTCCCAAGCATATCTAGTCAATAGATCTCATATTTTCTATTTTGAGATTACTGTCAGAAAAGTGTTAGATTATACAACATATTCAAGCTATTTCTGATTTATTCTACTTGTTTTAAAGGGCAATTGCACTTATTTTCCTACCTAAATTTCTGTATAATTCAATTGTTAAGGTGTAAGCAAACTCATTCAGAGTGGTTTGATGTGAAAAGCTCTGTTCTAGAGAAACTCACAGAGTCAGAATTGTTCACATGGGTAGTGAAAGGAACCAGAGATCCGAAACAATTAACGACACAGAGCGTTATTACAACCCCAATTCCAAAAAAGTTGGGACGCTGTGTAAAATGTAAACAATGTAAATAAAAACAGACCGCAGTGATCCATATTTTATTCACAATAGAACATAGAACACATATCAGATGTTGAAAGTGAGACATTTTACCATTTCATGAAAAACATTAACTCATTTAGAACTTGATGGCAGCAACGCATCTCAGAAAAGTTGGGACAGGGCCGTGTCTACCATTGTGTAGCAACCCTCTTCTTTTAACAACAGTCTGTAAACATCTGGGAAGTGAGGAGACCAATTGCTGGAGTTTTGGGAGAGGAATGTTGTCCCATTCTTGTCTGATGTAGGATTCTAGCTGCTCTACAGTCCTGGGTCTTCATGGTTTCATGATGCACCAAATGTTTTCTATTGGTGAAAGGTCTGGACTGCAGGCCGGCCAGTTCAGCAACCAGACTCTTCTTCTGTGAAGCCATGTTGTTGTGATGGATGCAGTATGAGGTTTAGCATCATCTTGCTGAAATATTCAAGGCCTTCCCTGAAAGAGACGCTGTCTGGATTGGACCACATATCGTTCTAAAACCTCTATATACTGTTCAGCATTAATAGAGCCGTTCCAGATGTGTAAGGCACTAATGCATCCCCAAACCATCAGAGATTCAGGCTTTTGAACTGTGCGCTGATAACAAGCTGGATGGTCCCTCTCCTCTTGAGTCGCAGGACACGGTGTCTGTGGTTTCCAAAAAGAATTTCAAATTTTCATCCATTTTAAATGAGCTTTGGCCCAGAGAAGGCGGGAGCGGCACTTTTGACTTCATAGATTCATGGCGGAGAGGTACATTTAGGGTGTTGTAGGGTGAAATAGTGCCCAAAGAAGATTCACATTTTTCAGACTCCAGATTTCAAATTCACATTTTACTAATATCATTAACATCAGTCTTAGTTGTTATTAATATTATTACATATAAAAACTTGGAAGAGGTGCAGTTCACTGGTCATTTTAGTTAGTGAATAAAATGACCATGATGGCCCTGGTTGCTACCACCACCATAGTAAAGAAATACAAGCTGGCTCGTTTCTTTACACCATTTCACATCAAATCACTCTGTAAGACTTTGTTGCATCTCAACCTCTGAATGATGCAGAGAACTGGTGGAACTCTCCTTTTAGATGTTTGATGGGTAACAAAAACTCTGAGCTGGTGGTCTCTGGATGGTGCAGTGGCGTGGGTCGCACAGCAGAGAGCAGTGTTGATCTTCCTCAAACAAATCTCTGCCAAAAACAGACCACAGAGTGCAGCATTGGTCCGTGGGGTCATCAAGTTCTCTTCTCATTTTACTTCAATATGGTTCAATTTCATGCACACTTATAAACACGTTAATTGAGTTGAACAGCACATAATATACTAATCTGAGAAGCATCAAATCAATTAATGTTAAAGGGGATGTTAAAGGGGAATTCAGAAGTGTTTCAACATTTCTGAATAATTCAGTCCTTGAGATGTAAACAGAGAGATTCAGAGTGTTTTGATGTGAAATGGTTCAATGTAGAGAAATTTCTTTACAGTGGTGGTGACGGGAACCAGGTGTCGCCATGTCTACAATACAAATATAGCCATTTTGTTTACTATCCAAAACACAAGTCTTCTGAGATTTTATACATAATGTTGTTGATGGCGAAATAGGCATAAATCTGAAAAAAGTTTTATTTGGGGACTATTTTGCCTTATAACACCCTTCATGAATCCCTCCACCATGAATGGATTAAAATAAATGGATTAAAGCACATTTTAAGCCAAAACTTTATCACAAAACTATCATAAACCAATGTTTCAGACATCAGGCAGGATATATCCAACCACTTCAAGTAATAATTGACTGCGAGGGAGCTTTTAGAGGTGGACATCTGGTTCCTATCACCACCACTGTGAGCAGTTCTGACTCCGTAAGTTTCTCTAAAATGAAGCATTTCACACCAAACCACTCTCAAATTATGTAGAATTGTGTAGAAAATCAGTGGCGTTTCCCTTTAAGGTTCAGTTCTACAGTGAAGCGTGTTGTGGTTCTGCTTTTCTTCTCCACTAAAGGCGCTTTTGTCTGGTTTATTGCACGTGTCTAAACAGTAATCGTTGTGTTCCTTCAGCTTATAAAGTCTTAATGCAAATCTGCACCCCAGAGCCATTCAGATTGTTCTTCTTAGAACAGTTCTAGAGCTAAATGTGCCTCCAGCGAGCGCTTTGCATTATAACCACACCGCGTGTCTTAAAAGCTCCTTTTGTGAGACAGGCTTTGGTGGGAGTGAAGTGTGAACATGAAGGGTGCTCAGATCCTCTCAAACCTGGCCTTTTAATCAACCGCCAATAAACAGGAGTGCACAAAACGTAAACACTTTTTTTTAAGCGTTGGGGGAGGTGAGGGAGGGGGCTCCACTCTCATGCTGTCTATTTTGCATGCTCGTTCTCCTACGCAAAGCTTTCCATGTGTATATGATTCATTAGACCATTCCAGAGGGAGAGAGAGAGAGACGGAGAGAGTGGGGGAGGGAAGGAAAAAGAAAGAGAGAGAGAGAGAGATATGGAGAGATGCTATTCCTGTCTGGG